AATAACATTGGTGCTTAGCGTTCGCTGCGACGAAAATTATCGTTGAGTGATCGAAGTCGACTGTGTCCGTGCGCGTAATTCGAAAAAGCGTATACTCCCAATTTACCCCCTCTCGTATTTACTGAATGACTGAAAGGAACTTACGCATTGACCAAGTTTTGTTTTATACAAACTTCGCGGAAAAGCGCTGTTACTAAGTTTCTGGTTATTTATAGCTAGGGCCATGGTTTCAACTTATGTTCCCAATGCGCGTAGTTTCCTTCTATAACCAGCTTGGTCTGTTAACCCGTTTCTTCTCTTTCCCGTTTCCACACACGCCCGTGTATCGATAGTTGTTTATATTAGAGCTGCGCAAGCATTTCAACAAAGATAAATTCTAGAAAAAAAAAAATTTTGATAAAAATAATTCGCGCTTCTAGATCCGTTGGGTACTTCAATCACGTTCACTTCTTGCGCAACCAATAAAAGTAAATGGCCTTATCCAATCGTAAGCTGCGGTGATATCGTTGAAGGCGCGATCACACCGAAACATTTTCTCTGCAGCTTGTCTCGCAACAGCATTGCAACACACGTTGCAAGAGGTGCAACGGAGACGCAATCGTTGCCAAACTATAAATGAATTCTACTTCTGGCAAAGATTGCTGCTACTCGCATCGCAACCTTTTTTTTTAAAATCCGCTGTAGGTCAAACGTTGCAATGTCCTATGCAACTCGATTCGCAACACAACTGCAAGACAAGTTTCAAAGAAAATTGCTGCGTAGTGCGTTATTCTTCTAAAGAGCAAACTAGAGATCACATTATTACACATTAATTCAATAACACTTTACTTGACTGAGCTTATTTTATTGAATTCAACAAATCACTTGCAAAAGCTAAATCTGCTACTAAACATGAATATTTTACTTTAATCATTAATGAACTTTTAACCTACATGTAACGAAATATAACGGCTAATTGCTGTCTAAAAGCATAGCAAAATAGATTTTGCATAAATTCGGAAACTCATGGTACGGATGCCGGTGCTGTTACCATGACAATACTGCATCCAGGAAATTACCACACTTGATGCAACAAATGTCTTCTCCGTACCGTGACCGTGTCATGGGCAATGTTTTTTTTCCAATTGTACGAAATCTATTCTGATATTCAAACCTAGTACTAAATTTGTCAAATAAGGTATTACTAAATGAAACGAAATGAATAAAGTATATATGAGATATCCCATTATTGTTGCCTGGTTCTATTGGTCTTCAAGGTACCTAATGTACGTCAGTTACAAAGCACTTTGGTCTTGGTATGCCCTATGTATAACTGAAAGTTTCAATAACCTACGAGATGGAGAATGGGATGATCTACAAATTCTATGCCAATTACCTTAGCAATAGCGCCTTAAAATGTGCATACAATTTAGTTAAATCCACAGCTTGATTACATGGTTATTTCTATAAGAGATATTATAGCCAAGTTAATTTATATTTGATTACATAGTGACATTAGTTTTCAAACCTATATGCTATAGTTTATATTTGATTACATAGTGACATTCGTTTTTAAACCTATATGCTAAACTCATAAATGGCTTTCTTTGCCATACTTTAATATTGCCAAATATGCATCTACAATACGTACTAATTCCTACATCATTAAAACGATCATTGGTAGACACTGGTGACTTAGATAGAGAAACTGTATTTACCCTGGGGTTATAATGCAATGAGTTAAGTTTCTAGCATCATACGTATTAATTGATGGGTTGCAAGCATTCCCAAGAGAGACAAAAGACAAAAACATGGCGGCCATTGTAGTGCCTTTAACAATAGATGCTAATGAGAAATCTTTTGTTAAATGGTACCAACATGGCCGCGATGACGTAACGTGCAATCGAAGAATATGCCAAGAATCAGCATAACAAATTAACAGAATAAACAATGTCGTATGCCTTAATTTAATTAGGGCGAAAAAAATTTGAAATATAATCATACATAATCGTGCATAGAATATTGAATGAAGTGGTAGTGCGTGCGAGTGAAAAGTGTCCCCAACTAGTGCGAAAGCGCTAGAACGACTAGACACTTAAATAAAGTGACTTATTTATGTATTTAAGTATTTAAAGGTGTGCTTTTCGCCCCCTCAGACTATCAGAGCTCTTTATTACGGGTATCTAAAGCTACACAGAACAGAGAGAAGTCTCATCCATGATACATTATGGTTTTCATGTCATCAGTGGGTACCAAGTCTAATAATTACTTAAAGCCTATTGGATAGAATAAAGCAGAGGGTTCCTACTAATATTTCTGGAAGTCTATTCACTAGTAACCTTTTTGGAACACTACGCCAAGCCGACCTCATCGCTGGCACTGAGGGTGTTCACTGCCAGGGTTTGTTGCGTCCTCAGTGGTTCTTTTGCGTCCCCAAATTGGAGACGGGACCGTCATTTAACGTGGTCATCCGAGCCACGAGGGATTCACAGTCCCCAATGTAGAAAGCCAAGGTTTTTACACCTTTAAAAAATTACGCCTCAGCCAGGGTTTGAATCACTGACCTCTGGAGTGAAAAAAAGAGGCGCCACCACAGCGCCACCGAGTCCTCTAATAAATCACTTTCCATTAACACTAACGAAATCGTACAATTTTCTGTTACGACAAAATAGGTTTTTATATGTTCTTATAAAATAGCTTTTATGAATGTCGCGTTCTGATTGGTTTGGAGCGCGTGCTTTGTGAGAGCACATTGCACGCGCGCGCACTTTCCGTTGAGTCATTCCTATCTATTATTGTAATTTGTATTTTATAAAAGAAATCGTGCTGTGTTGTGTTGTGTTGTGCTGTGTGCAGTCATAAAAGCACTTTGGGATTGGCAGAACACTCGAGAAGTGTCCAGAAGCCCACCGCTACGCGTCGTGCCTCTCCTAACACTTCTCTCGTGTTCTGCCAACCCCCGCGTGCTTTATGACAGCACACAGCACGCGCGCGCGTTTTCTATTTCTTCAATAAAAGCTTCCATAACACTATTGGAAAACACAGTTTCAATTGCACATGCCTATGGAATGTCATGGAAACGCCTTGATTTACATCTATCGAAAACCAACAAAACCTATTTAATCGAGAAGGAAAATTGTAGGACTTTGCATGACTTGTGTAATTGGGAAGTGCAGTTACAAGAGGCAAAAACATTTTGAACATACATAGCTTATTATCAGAACATATCCCATTTGATATAATCCTCTAAAAAATTGGAATTCCTATCTTTCTTTTAGATTGAGTGGTGCACTTATATAATGGTTAAATATTAGTTACAGACTGGTGTAATATTTAAGAATTATTCGTCGAAGGCAAAGTAATTGCCATATTTCACTATGACGTCACTGCTTGTTTATGTGGGGGATAGAATCGCCAAATCCAATAGGGAATTCAACAAAATTTGCTCCTAGCGAAACAGTTGAATCTAAAATGGCCTGGTTTTCAGATATAATATGTGTTGATATGTACTAGAAATATTCTGAGAGTTTGCTGGCTATTCTACTTCTCTTCGTGGATTGATACGGGTTTTAGAACAATTTTCGGTGAATTTGCGTCGATTTGACCCCTTCCGCGGACCATGATCCTTTGCGTTTAAACAATAGATTGTATTGATGTGACGTCATAGTGAAATAGGGCAATTATCGGTGAATACTTATTGAGCCGCAAGTTTTTGAAACAAAACCTCATAATGACCGCTCAAGTGATTATTGTCTCATCACTTGTCATTCGACCAATCACAGAGCGTGGAACTCTATGTTGAAATCTAAAATTATACTAAACTAAAACCACTTTCTAACTAAATTAATCATAAATATATTTGAAAATGTGGTACAGCCTACCATACATGGTACTTCGTAATTGATATCTACAAAATATACAAACCTAATCATAATATGATACCTTCCTAACCTGCAGTAAATGGGGGACATAAAAGAACCTGTTGGATTATTCGTGTAAGAGTAGGGGATTGTCTCCCGGTTCAACAACCTATCCCTGGAGGCATAACACTATTGTACTAACAAATCACTTATGATTGTAAGCTGCACGGCTGCTAATAGCGCCTTAATATGAAGCCCGTAAAGTCCTACACTGTCATAAATGTAAAGCGCATTGACACCCCGCCGGAATTGAGACGTTGACCTATAAATGCACTATACAAGAACCTCCCATTATTATTATTATTATCATTATTATCATTTGTTTAGTCTCCAAATGAAGAGAGGTGCCAAGTTGTAAAAGTAATAGCACATATTTTGTACACGAAAATGTGAACTAGTACTGCTGCAGATAGAGTGATCAGTCTAAAAAATAATTTACCAAATGAATTGCACTACTATGGAAACACTTGCTATGACTGCTCATCTAAATACTCAACAATGAGACCAGTCAAAATAACCAAAAAAGCAAAGATTTGTCTGGACAAGTTGAAA